GCTCTATAGCAACAAAATAGGCTAATTTTACATAGGTCTGACATTCAGAACTGATTCTAGATCAATGGAATATGTGAATTGAGTTGGTGTGTATTTAGCCTTCAGCTTAGTTCAGCCTAAGAACCTATCCCAGAGATGTGAGGCTCCGTCTGACACCCCGTTTTTGCCTCAGATCAAACGTTTTCCCTAGAAATAGTCTTCGCTGAATCCATGGCCTAACTTAAGTTTTCCGTAGGGCATCGGTCGTTCAAGGTGCATCCGATTTTTTAATACCAAGCGATCTGTTATTTAATTATCTACAGCTGCGCAAAATTTTGCTTGCCTACGCCGTGCCATTCGGAAGCCATCCTGGACAAATCATTCGAGAGGGGGAGGATCAAGCTGACCCGCAGCGAAACTCATTTTGATCAATAAACCAATCAAACTTAGAATTACAACCACTTCCATTGACCTTGGGTCAGGTATGAAGGTCAGAACGAAGCCAAAACTAACCTGCTTTTACTGGAAAGCTCGTCTTATGGGGATGCTTCTGGTGCTCATTTAAAAATAATTAATGACAAGGACCGCAATAGACGTGTTCCATGAACTGTTTAAGGTCATAGCAGGTCACTGCCCTGAAGTGGCCCAGGTCAACATTTTGTTTTGGGGAACAGATCACCTAGCGTAATCTCTGAGACGCCTGTCTGAGTGGCAAAATAGGAGCAATCTCGTAGATATGTGGTTACATTAGCCTTATAAGGGTGAAAAGATCACTGGCCTCAATTTAATTTGGCTTAGAAGGTCTGACCTGATTTAATGCAAGGTCATGGCCCAGAAAAATCAAATTTGGACGCAAGTGAGTTCACGTGCAGATTAATCTGCTCTGTGAATTTGGTGTCTAGCTATCTTGATGCCTTAGATCTCAGGGGTCAAATTGACCCCTGCCCATCCCATGAATGGTATCCAGCCGGCCACCAGGGCGCGTGTTAAGATGATGATGCAAAATTTTCAAGGCACAGCTTTCTTAGAATGGTAATGTATATTTTTCATCGTAAAAGAACTCCAAAATTATATATTGTGTCATATCTACTTTTCCGACGATGAGGTAGGGTTTCCAAGGGAAAAATGTGCAGATAGCGACGAACATGCATGCATGCAAGCATGCATATATATGTGCATACATCGCTCAATGAAGACAATGGCTTCGTTGTTCCGAGATGTACTTCCGATCTTGCGTTTCAAGTGCTCGTTTTCTGAGCTGTGCTTATTGAGAAGAGAATCAAGGCTCATAGCGAGAACAGTTCAAGTGAACCACATATCTGCCTCGTGTCCTACATTTTTGGGATATTTCGTTCATTTATCTATTGACATTCTCAGTACAGTAAGATTTCAACTTAAAACTGCAATCATCGCTTCACAGTAATGCAAGATAATTACCCACCATGGTTGGTAATTAACTGATAAAATAATCGAAACTGTCTTATCTACGCAGCGTAGCTTGGCGACCAGCTACAAAACGGTAGCGTACTTTTCACTCTTCATGTAGCGTACTTTTTCACAAACACTGCGATACGTGCTAGGTATCATCAGCGACTGCTTTAAAGCAAAAAGTAGCGGAAGCTAATTTCAATCCATAAGATCACCTCTCGCTAAAGTTAGTGCTTTCCAGCTGCACGACATTGCTTATTAGGTATCATCCAGTACCCAACCGGTTCCCCGCGTAAAGAACTGGGGCTCCGCTCGCGCTGACCCGTCTTTTGATAGATGGGTTCATGTCGCGTCTATAAACGACCCCGAGCACATCTAGCCGCCTCACATCGTGCCATCTGTCTACGATGGTGGTGTAATCTACCATTCGTTGCCCGGTGAGTCGCTGATCATGGCTGGGATTCCGTATGTGTTTTTGGACCGCTGCTCTGGATGTGCGCTGACATGCGGCTACTAGCGTGAGGTGGCCGTCAATCCAGTGTAGTTACAGTTCGGGCAGAGCGTGCGGTCTCCGAACGGACACTTGTAATGGTGCATTACGTTGGATTGCTCCAGTAGAAGCGCTCCATGAGTCGGTTGTTTGTAATAAGTAGGGAATATGCCGTAAGATTTTGGTGAAATTTAATTAGCCCCAACCGGTCCCCTGGGGCCGCTGGCTCACATTGTCTCCTGACAATTGATCGGATGATCTTTTGGTCGGCCTTATAGACCTGTGGCATGCTGTTCGTGTAGAACAGTTTGTGGACGGAACCGTCTGGAGAAGTGGCAGTAGGGGCTAGGCCATGTTCGGTGATTGCGTCGCGTGAAGCGACGACGCGGTACCGCGCAGTAAGACAATTCAGTGATGTCATGTGACGGCTTCGCGGCTAGCACACCTGATGACGTCATGTGACAGCTTCGCGGTCAGCACACCTGATGACGTCATGTGGCGGCTTCACGGCCAGCACACCTGATGACGTCATGCCGTGAGCCAGAGTCATGAGCTGCAGGCGGAGCGAGCTATGGCGGGGCTGGCTGCCGGCTGGACGGCGTGCTGGCGTCGGGCGGAAGGGACGCGCCGGCCTCCCGGAAGTCCCGGCCGGTCGCGCGCGAGCGCCGCTGACGTGTTTCAGCTGCATTAATTACGCCGAATGGAGCGGATTAGCCGTTCGGTGGCCATCGACATGCATGACAGCACGGCTGTGTCAGAGTCAGCTAACTCTGCGTAATCGGTACCGCGCGCGAAGTGTTAGGTATGATCCAGCCATGGCAGTAACAAGGCATAGGATGTAAATTATGCACTATTCTTACCGCTGGTGAATGGCGTCCGTTTGTCGTATTTTAAGATATTTCAGTGGGCATACCTGCGAATGATGACGTGGTTGTAGCCAGGCCGTCTCATTTTCTTACAGCGTAAGGGTGTAACGAAACTGTGGCTGTGATCAATTGCAATGACGCCTTTCATTCAGTAGTCAACCACTGAGCCAACTGAAAACATCACATGTGTATTATGACATCCGGGATTGGGAGCATTCAGCTGTTTTTTTAACACCGGGTAAGCAGAACCACTTCATAAGCGTGCCCCACTCCACGCCCAAAACAGCATTAAACACATTGGAGGAATAGGACGGCATAGCATCCCTACCAAATCATTGGCTTTTGTTCGTAGCAGCAGAAATGCCTTGTACGCCCAGCCTTATGGTTAACTCAGCAAGATTCTCACCAAATTTACACTATGTCAACTACGCTGATGACGTGACCTACCGAACGCCTGTCGCCACCGCGGGAGCGAGCGCAGAGAGGTGTCCAGAGCAGCGGCTGGGACTCTGTCTGTCTTGTCGCTCCACACCGCCGACACAACGGCCCATATGGACCACGTGAGCCAGAGTTCTAAACACTGTTCCCGACCCGACATGACCCGACCCGACCCGACCCGACCCGACCCGACCCGACCCGACCCGACCTGACCCGACCCGACCCGACCCATCCCGACCCGACCCGACCCGACCTAACCCGACATGACCCGACCCGGCCCGACCCGACCCGACCCAACCCGACATGACCGGACCCGACCCGACCAGACCCGACCCGACCCGACCCGACCCGACCCGAGACCCGACCCGACCCGACCCGACCCGACCCGACCCGACCCGACCGGCCAGCTGCTTTCCACGCACACGGCACCGGGTGGTGCCATCGGGCGTGGTGGACAGTGATCATACACCTGTGAGGCAGCGGAGACGCCGCTGATCGGGAGGTCTCGCGGCTTAATCCACCTGTTAGGCAGCGGAGACGCCGCTGATCGGGAGGTCTCGCGGCTTAATCCACCTGTTAGGCAGCGGAGACGGCGCTGATCGGAGAGGTCTCGCCCAGCAGCATGGTGTTCGGCGTTGAGCCCACTGGAGCGCAGAGATCGGCCAGTGCGCAGCGTTCAGCGGGTCACCGTATCAGTAAACGTCTCATTGAACAGCGACATCGCCCACGACAGCGGGTCGGTGCGCACCTCACCGCCCACTGCAGAGGGTCCGTGCGCACCTCCCCGCGCACAGCGGAGGGTCGGTGCGCACAACAAAGCTCAGTATGCACCTCCCCGCCCACCACAGAGGCTCGGTATGCACCTCCCCGCGCACAGCAGGGTCATTGCGCACCTCCCCGCGCACAGCGGACGGTCATTGCGCACCTCCCCGCGCACAGCAGACGGTCGGTGCGCACCTCCCCGCGCACAGCAGACGGTCGGGGCGCACCTCCCCGCGCACAGCGGACGGTCATTGCGCACCTCCCCGCGCACCAACGGTGCGCCCTCCCCACGCACAGCAGACGGTCATTGCGCACCTCCCCCCGCGCACAGCAAACGGTCATTGCGCACCCCCGGCGCTCCCCGACAGCAGACGGTCGGGGCGCACCTCCCCGCGCACAGCAGACGGTCTGGTCGCACCTCCCCGCACAGCACGTCAGCACTCCTCCCTCCCCGCGCACAGCGAGACGGTCGGGGCGCACCTCCGCGCACAGCAGACGGTCGGGGCGCACCTCCCCGCGCACAGCAGACGGTCGGGGCGCACCTCCCCGCGCACAGCAGACGGTCGGGGCGCACCTCCCCGCGCACAGCAGACGGTCGGTGCGCACCTCCCCGCGCACAGCAGACGGTCGGGGCGCACCTCCCCGCGCACAGCAGACGGTCGGTGCGCACCTCCCCGCGCACAGCAGACGGTCGGGGCGCACCTCCCCGCGCACAGCAGACGGTCGGGGCGCACCTCCCCGCGCACAGCAGACGGTCGGGGCGCACCTCCCCGCGCACAGCAGACGGTCGGTGCGCACCTCCCCGCGCACAGCAGACGGTCGGGGCGCACCTCCCCCTCGTATACGCCGCCATCTGACGCGTGCCGACTCCGCCAGGGCCAGCGCTGCGCCACTGACGTCACCTTCCCTGACGTCACGCCGCAGCGGTCGGCTCCGACGTCACATGCTCCGCCATCGCCGCGTTTTGACGTTCCACTTTGCCCGCCGCTGCGGGGGTGGCAGCGGAGTCCCTCACGGCCCCTCCCCTGCCGTTGCAG